TCACGTGGCCGCGATGGCGCAGCGGGTCTGGGTGCTGAGGTGTTGCCGCTGCCGCCGCTTCCAGGGGCAGCAGGTGGGGACGGGACGGGACGGGACGGGACGGGACGGGGGGCTCCGGGCCCTCACCCACCGCTCTGTGCCCTCGCTCCCGGCCTCACCACCGCTCTGTGCCCTCTCTCCCGGCCTCACCACCGCTCTGTGCCCTCGCAGGCCAAGCGCAGCGGGCGGTGGAGCTGCAGCGTGTGCGGCCAGCGGCAGGCCGTGCAGAAGGTGAGGACGCCCTGCGCCCTCAGCCTCAGCGGGCGCTGGCCCTCGGTGACACCTGGGCTGTCGCCTCGCCTCGTGCTGTGCCCCCTGGCTGCTGCCTCAGCGCTGTCCTCTTTCATTCTGTGCAGGTTTATGGGCAGGGCTCGGGCCTGGAGTGCAGGCGCCACGTCCAGAAGCTGAACGTGCTGCAGGGCGAAGCAGAGGAGGCGCTCGGTTGGACATCTTGGTACGGTGCGAACCTCTCGCTGCTCGTTGCTTTTGATGCGCTGCAGCTGATGCGCATCTCCACACACCGGCTGCCTGTGGCCAGCTCCAGCATGTCACGGCAAGGTTTTCTGGCCTGTGAGAAGCCTTGGCCCTGCTGGTTTTGGCCTCACCACATAGGAACGAGCTCTTTTTGGGGGGTTTTGTGTCCCAGCGTGTTTATTTTGATAAGGATTTCTTTCAGGTAACTATAGCTGATCAGTAGCATGCGTGGGTCACCTTTACTCAATATGTACACAATAGGGTTTGGGTTTGTTGTGTTGTTTTTTGATGGGTTGTTTTTAAAATTTGGTAGTTTTTATGTACTGTTTGATGAGCTGATTGTGGAGATGTCCCTTTTACAGATTACAGTCCTCATCAGACTACATCCTCAAAAAACATTCATTTGAGTTGCTGCCTAACTGTTGGCATTTAGGGTGTTCATACTGTGAATCTGTTGAGTGATCACTGCTGCTAGTGATAAAAGACTTGTTCAGGGCAAACAGTTCAGTGTAATTCCTGCTGGGCTGGAAAATCTGAGTAACACTTTCCTGTTTATTTCACTTCTGAATCTGTTTATAAATTGTGTAATCTTGAAGTGGTTTTGAACTGGTCCAGCCTCCTTTTTACTCAAAGCTATTTTCAGAGATCGACCAAGGGTAGTTATGTAACTTGGTTGTGACTACACAGTGCTTCACAGTTAAGCTTGGAGAAAAAAACTCATTGTTCACTTTATCAAAAAGTGTTGCTATTTTTATTCTCAAAAAATTGTGAAATTCAAAACATTATGAAACAACTTCCCTTGCTTTCATGGGATAAAATGAGTGAGTTTAAATTGTTGTACCAAACTGTTATATCCCTCATTATGATCAATTAAAACTTACCATTTCATAATTACTGGCTTTAGATCAAACTTGAACTTTGTATAGCAACAAGGAGGGCTCTAACTTGAGCCCCTAACTATATTTAATCAAGTGTTTGTGCAATGTATCTTGCAAATCATTCATTTGGCATAAAGTTTTCCATAGATCTTGTTTTTTTCTGATATGTTTCCTATATACTGCTCCTATCCATGCTTTCTGTTCAATCCTTTAGGCTATGACTGGGTGATTTGAAGCCTATAAATCAACAGACAGGAGTGTGTAGTTTAAACCTCTATTTTAGGTGTGTAGAAGACTCTATAAATGACAGCAAAAATAGAGCAGCACAGCATGAGGACAGTTCAGTCCAGCAGGTAAGATCCCTACAAAGCTGATGTAAATACAAACCCATTCTGTCCTGGGTGAAACCAGTGATCCCTTTATGTGGTTCAGAGAGCTGAAAGGGTGTATCAAATCAGAGAGGCTCCTGCAGAGACAGAGGTGTACACAGAAACTGCTCCGCTGAGGACTGAACCTGGGAACATGACAGAGGAACATGTCCTAAACTGATTCATGATTTGAGGCATTTGGCACATGTGTTACAGTACCAAAAATGAGAGCCCCCATGTTTTGCTGGTTTTAGTAATTCTCCAGTGTTGTAGGAGGGAAGGAGAGAAGGCAGTCGCTGGAGTAAATATCTGGACCAGGAGAGTGAGGATCAAGAAGATGAGGAGGAGGCGGCTCTGGAAAGGCAACAGTTCTGTTCCCAGAGAAAGAACACTGTGGGAGAACAAAGGTACAGAGAGAACTTTGGCAATTTCTGCCCCCGAGTGGTGACACTTGATTTGGAGGTGTGGGAGGGAGCTCAACTCTGAAATCTGGGCTAAGGTGCAGGTGGCAGTGTATGACCTGGGCTGAGCAGGGATTTGGTATTTGGGGATATAGAGCCATCCATTTTATGAACCTCTCTGGTGATCTGTGAAAAGAATCACAGTGGATCTAATCTGTCCTCTTTGTTAATGGTTTTCTTGGCCAGGAAACACCCGAAGCACTTCCTCTCCAGTGATGTTCCAGAGCATGCAGAAGAAAGTGGAATGTCTCAGCTTCTCTATCAAGTCAAAAAAGTTAAAACCACTGAGGTATTTTAGCTATAGAAGATGCTCCTGATCTCTAATTTTTTATCATAATTTTGAATTTTTATGAGTCTTTCTCTGTTCTTCTCCAAGCAAGCCAATGAATGACTGGGGAGGAAAAATAGTATGTTGGGGGTTTCTGTCAGAAAGGTTTTATTTAGGCAAAGCCAATACCACCTTTAATGCTTCTATGCTGCATTTATAACCACGTTCTCTCTTTCAGTGCAAGAAATGCTTTGTAGCAGTGCCTGGTGGACATGATGGAGATGCTGGTTCTGGAGGCAGTGTGGCTCCTGCTGTCTGTGAGACTGTAGTGCCTGAGAAGAATACACAGCCCCCATCTGCTTGCACCAAACCATCCAAGTGGGGAAAATTTCTCTCGTTATCTGACAGCTCTAGTGAAAATGCTGCTGTAGGGACCATGGCACAGCAGGAGGGCAGTGGAGGTGGGGGGCTGGGCAGCACAGCTGCTGGTGGGGCCTGGAGGTGCTCAGGACAGCCTGGAAGAACTCTATCTCAGAGTACAGGTTTTAAATTTACAAAGTGTGTTGTAAGCACTGAGGATCTGGCCTCAGCACTGCCCAGCAGCAATGAGGATGTGCTCAGAGAATCTCACGATCAGGTGCTAAGGGTGGGATCTGCTGCAGAGACCACTGCAGGAAAGTGCTGCTTTGATACCCCAGGGAGGGCAAACACCCTTGTTAATGCTTACCCTGGGCCAAAGGTGAGCAACATTTCTTGTGAGCAACTCTTCTGCACAGGTGAGGAGTTTGATGATGATCTCTGAAGTTCAGGCGTCTTTGGTATGTCTTTCTTGGCCCTAATGCATTTGAGATGTTGTTTACTGAGACAGTTTTGAACTAAAGGTGTTTTCACTCAAAGCCATAGAGAACTGCACTATTAAAGTTGCTTACATGTTTGATGCTTGTTTGTGGGGAAGGGAAGGAGGGAGAAGAGACTGTTGCTCTCAGGTTACAGGGTTGTCTAGCAACCTCAGCAGCTAGAAATAGGAATGGGAGTAGGTTGGCTTGGGGAGAGAAAGCTCCCAGGCTTTAAGGATTTGTGGCCCATACAATTAAATTCTGTGATTGATTCCTCCTTATAAACTATAGCTCTTTCCCCCCCAAACTACATCTTTGTTGAAACCTCCCATAGCAACCCTTTCTTCCAGAGCTGTAAGAAAGCTCCAGAGCCAGCAAAGGATTGGATTTCTCTTCCTAAGAGTAGGCCTAAGTGTACACCAAAGTACATGCCGAAAGGCAGTCCTGGGCTGCTCTGTGTTTTCAGCCTCATCCGTAGGTGATGTAGCTGTGATACTGAAATGTTCCACAGACACATGACATGCAGTAGTATTTATTTTTCCTCCATTCTACAAGCACGTAAGAATGTGAGACAGAAATCCAGAGTAGGAAAAATGATGAACCACAATAGCTCAATGCTGCATTATCTGCTTTCAGCTAGAAAAGTGGTTTTTGTTACTACTACAAGTGAGGTGGCTGCTTAGAATACTGGATGGCATCCAGTGCTGCCCCAATGTCGCAGTTCTTGATCTGCAGGAGCTGAGTGAGCCATCCACCCTCATCGGAGAAACCCATGGAGAGCATCTGGGACAGAGACTCAATGAGGCGAGGCTCAGCTTCTGTGAAAAGAATACAGTTCAACTATTTCATGTAATTAGAAAACCAGGCAAGGGTTTAACAGCATTCTTTGACAGAAGGAGACATGCTTTTCTTTGTCTCCCAGGAGTGCAGATGTGTGAGATAAACAATACATAATCAGAGCTAAGGAAAGTGCTTAGTTGGGCTCAGCTGGCCTTGCTGTGGGCCTCAGTGCTGCTGATGGCAGTTGAGGGGCCTTGGATACTGTTAGTGGCTCCCACCAGGAAAGTGCTGCCCTGAAGCCATAGGATGTACTGGTCCATGTCCTGCATTAAAGGCTCTCTTGAGCAGTACACAGCAAGGACATGATCAAGGACAGCACCTATTTCATGTTGCTCAAATGGCATATTAGCCCAAGGTCAGACATGTGGTTAGTGGCCCACATTCAAGAGAGGAGCCACCTGATCTTCTCTAACAGAGTGCAAGAGCTGCCAAACCTGGGACAGGTTTAGCTCTAACTTACACAACCTTGGTTTCTACCACTTCTACAAGAAGTCTGCTTGTGTCAAGCCAAGTAGGCAGTTCCCTAGCCAAAGTTACTCTCAGCTATGAAACCTGCTCACACTCTCCTACCTGGGGGCAGGTGTGGGTAGAGAGCAGCTTCTCGCAGTCCTGTAGGTCCTGGCTGGGGAGGATCCCGAGGCACATCCAGGGAGCTGGGACCGTCTGTGTCTGGCATTTGCAGAGACTGCAGTTCACCTGTGGAAGGATCCACTTCTTTGGATGATAAGTGGGTCCAGTCCTCCTCGCCCCCTGATGAACTGCTAGACTCAGTGTGTTCCTAAAATGGAAAAAAAGAAAGGGTCCAGGTGCTGTAGTGCTTCCCAGGCAGTATGCACACTCCTATTTGCCTTTAATATAAAGAATTACATCCACAAGAAGTCCCACCACCTTTGCTGTAAATCTGTAAAGGTGCTGTGTATCCCTTAATCTGCTCTCATCTTAATACTCATTCCTGCAGTACATTCCAAGTGATTGCATTCAATTACTGTTGTAGTTTTGTACCTGGGAGTGGAAGCTGCCATCTTCCATTTGTGTGGGCACAGAATCTACCACCATGTCTTGCATCTGTTCTGCAATGACATTTACTTGTGTAGCAGACTCTGTGTTATTCCAGTCTGCTTTGGTCTGAACATTCTGGGTTGGAGCACTGCTGGTTGCCTCAGCACCGGTCTTCTCTTGGTTGGCAGAAGTGGGAGTCACTTTGCTTCTCTGTCCTCCGTGTTCCACATCGATATCAACTTCAATACCTAGAAAAGCATTTAAGGTAGACAAAGTGGTAAGAGGTTTTTTTTCCAAAGCAGCCCTAAATGGATCGATCCTGCTCTACACTCTTAAGGTTTCTGTCATCCTACAATCTGCCATGTAACAGCAGGAATTAAAATGCAAAGCCTTCTTTACTAAAGAATAGCTAAGCACTGAACAGCCATCTTCCTCCACACAGACAAGCCAAATACTTAAAGGCAGGGCAGAAGTTACATCTATGTCCACATAAACCAGGCAAAATCTAGAGTCACCACTGACTTAAAGGGCTGACACATTATTGAAATTTTTCCTCATTTTTTTCAAATAAAAGGTACTGAGCAACTGTTCTAAGCCTAAGCATTATTAGTATCCAAGTATAAACTAAGCCTTTGAGGCTTAGGACAGGAGGTAATTTGAAGACCAGTCACAACAACTGACTGCTGCTCCTGTTAAACAGACCTGTAAGCCAGTCTCAGGGACTGGTAACAAACTGTACATTATCACTTACCCAGGGGACTCAGAAAAGCTGCAACACTCTCCCCAACATTCTTTAGGAAGGTGACATTGGGGTCCTGAGGCTGGCTGTTAGTAGAAGCTTCTAGAAAAACAATTTCTGTTAGCACACACAAGCTCTGAGGGAAAGGGCACCTGCAGAGGGTGTGTCCCCACAGGAGCTTAAAGCTCATTCCTGTCACTGACATACATTACAGAACAAAGCACTACAGAGAACAACTAACTGGGCTACCTCTGGAACAGAAAGCCAGTATTAGCATTGTTATGGCTCATCAGCCATGCTGAAAGGCAGGTCTGGAGTACAATAGTGACGTGCTTGACCTAACAGCTCAGCTTGGTTGGGTTCCAGATACTTTATCTGCATCCTCATTGACTGCACGGACCCAAGCACACCTTAAAGTAATAACACTTTGTGCTGAAAGGTGCCAATTCCTTTGTTCTCCCACCCAGATTCTACCCTATGCTGCAGAACCTCAGCTGGTCTGAGGCTCCACCACCACCCTGTCTACCAGGGCACCTCCTCTCACCTTCTGCAGCAGGTGCACTGGGGGCTGCAGTGGTGGCTTCAGCGGTGGCTTCAGCTTGCTCCGAGTTCTGGCAGGGAGCTGCAGGCCCAGGATACCCCCAGCAGTGCATCCATGGGAAAGGTGGAACACCATGGCGCATTTTACGGAGCCAGCGTCCTCGGGGAATCCACTGTAAAGGGTGACATTCGTGTGACAGCGAGTTCTGAGCAACTGAAACGCCTGACTTGAATTTGAGGAATCTCTCACTCATCAGTTGCCTTCCATAGATTTTGCTCACCTCAAATGGATTAAGCAGTGGGCTTTGGAACATCACCATGTTGTGCTCCTTGTGGATGCCCTTCCCCTCACAGGTGCTGCACAGGTCATAGTCTGGACAGACACTGCACTTGAACCTGGTCCCCACCACAGGTCCCTCACAGCCATCACAGATGACGTTGGGGTGCACCATGTTGCGGGGCGGCTCCTGGCTGCACTGCGAGCGGTGCTCCCGCTTGCACTCCTTCTTCTCTGTTAAGGAAGGGAAATTTCACATCAAGATCAGATTACTATCTACGGCCTTGAAGTCAGGCCGAGGAGGAAGCACAAACAGCCCGTCCGAGCAGTGTTGACTTACTAGGTCAGTTTATTTTTACACTGGCTGTCAAACCTAAGCCAGGCTCATGTAAGAGACCTTAAACCACGTGCAAAGAGGTTTTGCAAAGATACCTCCTCCTGAAACCAAGCCTACGTTATCCTAAATATCCCTTGGCACACTTTTTTTAGATTAGCACTGCACCACCTCATCTGGCTTCTCACCCTACCTTCCCAAGCACTGCAAGAACAAAATGTTTCTGGAGAAGGAGTTAGGAATGCAGATGCCATGAAGCATAACGTGAGAATGGGGACAACAGGTGTGGCTCACTAGATGGACTGCAGATAAAGCTTTGAGGGCTTCTACATGAACAAGGGACTGGGAAGCAACTACGCACTGGGAAAGTGGAATTAAAGCTAACATGTTGTTTTGAATATTTAGGATACCACCACTGGTTTAGTGTATCCAGGGAACGAGAATGACAACAGAGCCTCACACTGGGCCAGCTGATAGGGCTAGGAGGAAACCTGTGGTTTGTTTATCCCACCTCAAATTCATGTTCCGTCACATTACACTGCCCTTTATTTAACCTCCCCCGCAGAGGCCGCAGCTTCCACTCGGCGCTCGAGGACACGGGAAGGGCCGGGGCTGGCTTCTCCCGCTTCGGGAGCGCTGCCAGGAGGCTCAGCCGAGACCCGCCGTGCCCTCCGGAGCTGCTACCCGTACCTTTGATATAAACACGGAACACGCCATCCCGCACGTAGGGCATCGCCAACTCCAGCTCCTCGTCGCTGGAAAAAGCGATCAGGTCCCCGTCCTCATCTGGAAAGGGCGAAGCGCAGGATGAGGCGCCCGGTGGGGTAACGGGGCAGTCAGAGCCCCGCGCCCCGCGATCTGCCACCCCGGGACCCGGCAGCTGCCCCAGCCCCGCTCACCCTTGTAGTGCATGCGGAAGGCGGGCGGCGGCCCGGCCCGCAGCAGCCCCTGGAAGAGCTCGGCGACACGGTCGTAGATGGCCCGGTAGCGAGCGGGCGGCGGCAGCGTGAAGCGGCGGATCTCGCGGGCCGCCTCCTCCTTGCCCAGCAGGTAGGCTTTCACCGTCAGCGCCGCCATGGCTGTGGCGCAGCAGGAATTGCGGCCGGGACCGAGACACGGAGCGGCGCGGGGCGGGGTGAGCGGCGACGGCGGCTCCGCCGGCCGCGCTTTTAAGCGCCGCGGCAGCGGCCCCGCCCCCGAGGCCACCCCCCTCTGCCCTGCCCCGGCCCGCCCCGCTCCCGTTCCTGCTCCGTCCCCATCCAGGGCCACGGAAAAGCGCCCACGGCGCGCGGGAAAACCTGTGGATACGTGCAAGTGCCCATTCTGCTCCCTGCCCTGCCCGGCCCCGGTTTGGGCCCCGGGGCAGCGCCAGGGGCGTGGGCGGCGCGGGGTTCTTGTGGTCCCTGAGCACCAGCGGGGGCGGCGGGCAGTGAGCGCGACACGGGGACCCGTGGGTGACCTCCGAGACACACCGGGGGCAACACCACAGCACGGGCAGCGCCGGGCCGCCCCGGTCCCGTCACCGCTGCCGGCCGCCGGGAGCCGGCAGGCGCTTGGCATCCCGGCGCTGCCTCCCCTCCACGGCGGCAGCGCGGCCGGGAGCGGAGCGGGAGCCACGAGCCAGCCCCGCTCGTGCGGCACCCACCGGAGCGGCTGGCGTGCCGAGCGTGGCAGGAATAAATAACTGAACCCCTGTGTCAGGAGCGGGCACTAAAAATAAGGTCACTGGTGTAAACACAGCTGACATTAAGGAGGATGTGCTGTGGCCTTTCCAAGCTGGTTGGCAGCAGTATTTTTTTTGCGGATCACATACAGTTGACAGGCCTCTTAATCCGGCCGCAGGAGGGTTCAGCTGGCAGAACACACCGTCTGTGCTGTCCAAGTATAATTAAATAATGATGGATCAATGATTATTAGGTTCCTTGTTGGTGTTACTTTCCTCTCACCCAAGGGCCTGACCACTCTGACTCTTGGTGCTGTATTTCTTAGTTTAAGATATTAAGAACTTAGGAGGAACTGTGTCACGATTTATCATCTTCTGTAATCAAGAGAAGCATAAATTTTAATTTCCACAATGGGAAGGTAGTTTATTTCTTGACCTAAAGTATATATGTTAAAACACTTGGCCTTTTATGTAGAGACATTTTTGGTATATGTGGCACAATGTTGACATTGCAACCCTTTCCTGGAAAATAGTATTTACAGTGGAAAAGTTTGCCCCATTTAAGTTAAAATGCTTTCTAGAAAATTCAATTTCTATGTATGACATGGCTAATGTTTGCACTGTAAAGCAGTGGGTTAAAGTTTAAATACCAGCAAATTCAGCAGGAAGCATGGATGATGCTGTGTAGGAAATTATTCAGCGGCTTTTACAGCAGCCAATATTGAAAACTTTGGGCAGGCAGCAAAGCCATATGGTGTTTCACCTTCCCTTTTGCCTGTTTGCTGTGTGTATCCTTATATCTGAAAATGTCAATGAAAGCTGATACCTTGACATTGTTGGATTATGCTTTTTCTCCATAAAATCTGATTTTATGGTGCCAGGAGAAGCAGGACATGCAGTACAGGGCACTCTACCAGTGTTGGATGTGCCTCACCAAGCAGCACCTCCAACATGCCCATCTCATGTTGCTTCTGAAGACCTCGAGGGCCACTTTCATCTCATCTATTAGGCCAGAACTGTATTTTGAGACCCAGCACATCCATTCCTTAGGTTCCAAGCTGCTGCTGTTCCAGACAGCTCCAGTTCCTATTCCCTTCTCCATCCCTGCCTGTGTTTGAGGGGTGTTTGAAGTGCAGGGTAGGGGGTGTCCTCAAGTTGCTGTGTCTTTTCATGTCAGTTCTGTCTCCAGGCTAATTGATTGTTGCATTTGTAATTATCAAGCAATGTGCTAAAGTAAAATCAGAAATTTGAGTTTTCCCGTGTCCACTTCAATCCAGTTCTCCTGGTGGGACATGCTGAGTCACGCACAGCTCTTGCTGTGACATCATGCACTTTTACAAAAACACAAGGCGAACAGGCTTTCACTGGTCTCACGGCTTACCTCACCGATCACGGGACGGGAGTGACTCAGTGCGTCTCCTCCTCCTCCTCCTCCTCCTCCTCGAGGTCGGGGATTTCCTCCGGGCAGCCCTCCTGCAGCTCAGACCTCGCTCTCCCCCGTTTCCTCCAGCCTGGGCTCTGCCTCTGCCCGGTTCCTCAGCCCCATGTGAGGAGCTGTGCTCTATTCCCAGATCCACTAGAGCAGTTTCTCCTTCTGTTTGTGAGTGGATCTGGATTTTGGCATTCTCAGCATGGAGCAGTGGTTGTGTGGATACTTTCTTAGGAATCCCATGGCAGCACAGCAACTCCTGCCCAAAAAAGTGGCTCGTTGGCCCCAGGTGCTGAGCAGCCAGCTTCACACATGGATATAGCAAAGGAACAGTAAAGAGAACAGTGAAAAAATGCTGTTGGAGTTTAAAAATTCAAGTTAGAGAGGAAAGGCTTAAAAAGGAGCAATTAGCATCCCTTCAGTGATCTGCTTTCTCTCTACACCCACTTCTGCTGGGAAATGTTTGACAATATTTGGTGAGGTTTTTGTTCTGAGGGCACAATCACCAGAAATACTTCTGTCCAAACTTCTTATGTTTGCAATAAAGCCCTGGGGGGAAGAAGGTGGGATGGAGGAGGTGAAATGTCCAATCTTTTCCTTGCTTGCAAACCACAGCAGAGGCTGATGAGGAAATTTTCCAGAGGAAGTTTTGCCCCAGCTCATTGCTCCAGCCTGAGGCTGCCGTCACTGCCCCAGCACTCCTGGTGAGGAGGGGAGGGTTGGCAGGACAGTGTGTGGTGATGGAGGGACCACGCACAGCTCTGGGCTGCACCGAGTGCCCATCCACACCCAGCAATCCCACGTGTCCTTCCAGAGGCTTCTGGAGAGGTGCAGGATCCTCCAGGCACATCGGGACAGACACTGGTGACTCAGCCTGGTCCCATGACCTCTTCTTTCCTCCTCTAGCCCAGTGAAAACCCGGTTCGTGCCTCGGAAGCAGAACCCTCCTTCCTCATTGGCACAGGCAGAGCACAAAGCCGAGCTGGGAGTTTTTTGCTGTCTCATTTTTGAGGCTTTCCTGAAGTTCAGCTGTGCCACGTCAGGTGTTTACACAGGCTCAGCAGCTGTGGTGAAACTGTTAAAGGCAGAAAACTCTGGCAGTTTTTTCACTGAGACACAGGAGCAGATAGGAAGAATGGGTGGACAGCAGGTACAAGGTAGAAGCACACCAGGAGTGTTATGCAGTTCCATAAGGATTGTTCCTGGAGATGAGAAAGAGTTTTTTGCAACCTATGTGAATTTCTTGGGCCTAGTGTTGCTTTGAAAATCTGACTTGTAGCTTTTGCCCTGATTTAAAGCATCAACATGTCAACACTTTGAACATAAAGCACCCTGTTGTCATTTTCCTCTCTCATGGCTAAAGAGATTTGAAAACATTTATACTGCTGTGAAACAAGCCATGGTGATGTTTGAACACAGCAGCCTATAAAACATAGAAAATGAAATTATTTTGTTTCTTGCATAAAGCAGCCTGGGAAGGATCAAGCCTAAAGATGGGCCAAACTCCAGAGCTAAGCTCTTTCAAGCACTAGATAAAATCAGCTATAAATCTGGATTACATTTTATACCTAGACCTAATAAATGTTTTCTCTTTCTAATTTTTGTAATGGCCTCAGGACCTGTGGATTGCTACGGGAGTGTTTCCCATGAAGGCCCCTCATTTCTGCAGCACACTCAGCATTGCCAGCATCAACTGTTCAAAGATCATGAGATCACCATTAAAAAAAAAAAAAAAAAAAAAAAAAAAAAAAAAAAAAAAAAAAAAAAAAAAAAAAAAAAAAAAACAACACCAGAAAAACCCCACCTTTTCTCTGCATTTGCTATTTGCTGGGGTTTTGGGTCTCTGCAATTCACATTTTAATCTTTGCTCTGCAAAAATGAAAGCTCAAAACTTGCTCAAAATTTGCTCAAAACTTTAAAAACAGAATAAAAGACAAAACTGGGAAAAGAGGGATAGATTTAAAGAATAAAAAAGACTTTGCAGGTCTAAGAGAAAAATGGCAGGTGCTGCAATTTGGCTTAATCCCTCATTTTTTCCAAGAGAACCCAAGGTTTTTTATCATGAGAGGGTGGTATAAAGCTCATTAATTTCTTCAGACTTTTATGAAGACAAAGTATAACAGAAGAAATTAGATTAAACTTTATCCTTGGGAAAGAGTCTAATTAATTGTCTTGGAGAAATTATTAATGTTCCTCTCTTCTCTCCCGCTGCAGACACACCCGATATCCTGAGTGGTGGGAGCATTTTGCACCTCTGAAAATAAACAGCCAACATTTAATAGAGCACAGCACTTCCCCACCAGCTCTTACTTGTCTGCCACCTTTGTGGAGGGCTGCCATTAATTCCTGCGGATCTGCTGCTGCCTCATGTTGTGATGGGGGTTGTTCGTGCTTTGTAAAATCCAGGTCAGGATGCACCGGTCCAAGCCCCGCCCGCGGGGTTTTTTCGGCGTTCCTGGGAGTTCTGCCAGGGGATTTCCCCGCTCAGGGCGTTTCCCTGCCCAGGGATGAGGTCTGTGCTCGGCCCCGCAGCTCCCACCTGGCTCCTGGCAGAGGAGGGAGGCAGAAACTCCTGATGCCATCCAAAGGGCTCCCTCTGCCGATTTCCTTCCCGGATTCTCTAACACCGGCAGAGGCCATTTCAAGATTTGAAAAATGGGCTTTATTTAACGAACTGAAGAATGTTCTAAGGATGCAGTTAGGCAAGACCTGTGCTTTTCCTCATAAACGAGGCACCCAGAGCACCTCGAGGCAGCCCCTGCACCTTCCCGAGTGCTGGGCTCCCTTCACTGTCACCTCTCCAGGAGGAAACAGAGAGGATGCCTGAGGATCCACTGGGCAGATTTTCCTTTTCGGGAGAATTCCCATGTCTGCCGGCCCCCAGCTCCTCCCTGCCTGCCACCTGGGATGGCTCCGAGCGTTGCTGAGCCCCGGCACCGCCGCTCCCGGCCCTGGCACGGGCACACGCCGCATTGCATCGCACCCCCATTGATCCGGACATTTCAGGCAGCAGACTTTGATCGCTGGCAGCCCTACGGTATTTAC